GTCAGGTAGGTTAAAAAAACAAGCCAAGCATTTCTATCAGTAGTTGCCATAGCAACAACATTTAGGTTCTTAAAATTTCTTCCATATGTAGCCTGAGGCTGTAGGTTTTTTATTATTGACCTTCTACCGAGTGCTATGTTGTAAACATTTGCCAAGGGAGAAATTGCTTATGCATATTTAATATCCAAAGCTTTGTGAAATACTATATAGAGCCACCTTAAGCGGCCGCTTGTATTAAGCGACGAGTACATCAAGTCCCGAGGGTGGCCGTTATAGGTTCGACTGTATTCTAAAGGGAAGCCCGACATTTCAGCTTTCGAATTTAAGTTTCAGTATATTGTTAGCTTGAGGAAAATTGCAAAAGCGTTTGTTTTGTTCAGGTGAGGAAGATTCTCATGTCAATATATTTGCCCTATTCACTAATTTTACTTGAAATTGCTTTTTTTTTTCTGGAAAACCAGAGGTCAGGAACTTTCACTAGGTTTTTATTTAGCGCAGCTAGTTATTTCGACCAGTTTCTCCTAAATGTGCGAAACGTCTGCTTTATAACGTTGCGTGAACTTTACTTATGATAATGCAGGGAATTTCCCCTGGGTTGACCTTTTGGAATCGAAATCGAAACAGATTTACCTCGTGATGTTATGGCGGACCGAAGTAGAGTTTACATTTCCGGTCCTATACAAAGAACGGTTTGAACAGTTTTCTTCCATTACTACGGTAATCTTGATTTAATTCTTGGATTGTTTCACCGCTGAGCCAGTCGTGCACATAATCTCGACAGGTAAGGAAGGAATTATTAATTGTTCTGATTCTGTTAAATCCTGTTTAGCTGTAACACTATCGTCCTGTTTTCTCGATGAAAAGGTTCACTTTAAAGATATCGCCAATCTTTGTGCCAGTGTAACTTCGACAGATCTTCAGGTAACTCAACTTCACCAATTTATTCTTTTCACTCCAGAATCTTGCGCATTCATTAAGTAAGATGCTGAAAATACTGGTGTATATACGGAGATGCTAAGGAACTGCCTGACGCAATCTTGAGACCTAGAGGGTTTATCTGGATATGGCTTAAATGATAGGTGAGAATAAGTCAAAATGTTAACTTTTAGTTAAGAAATGACGCGTTTTTCACTGATAGCGAAGAATTTAGTGTTATTATTGCGTTCGACAGAGCGCAGTCCTAATGCTAGCCTCTTCCAGGCGTTCAGTTGGTTGGGGCGCAGCGCGGAAAACATAGCGCGAAAAATAACAAAAAAAGCACGGCGAGAGGAAGCTCTTTCTTTATTTTTTTTGCGCTCCGTTTTTTGCGCTGCGCCTCAACTAACTGAACGCTTGGAAGAGCCTATCCTAATGAGGACTGATGTGAGATTTTTTTTGGGACAAGGCATGGATGGATAGATGGAATTGGCCACCCCGCAGAATGCAGCAGGGGCGAAAACAAACTATGTCATCGCAAAGCTCTTGCTTACGAGTCGGTTTTGATTTCTAAATCGTTCGCTCGTTGGCAGTGGGTTCTGTACCGTGCAAATCAACGCAAACATGGCCTTTTTCGTCGGGGATGACGTGTTTTTGTGACATGACTAGGACAATTATTTATTTTACATGTTCAAGAACACGACTTTGAATCGCCTTGCTTTGGGATGTTAACCGTGGGAACAACTATATTTCATTGGCTGTATTTCGATCGCATTTGGTGATTAGTTCCATTCGCGATAGATAGCTCAGTCTTTATCCGGTCGACTATTGTTTGGAATCAGTGGAAAAGTAATCTGAAGGCAAGATCCATAAGACTGAGCCTGAACCAAGGAACGGTAATGTAAATACTGTCTACTTTTATTCATCAGGGGAAATATTTGAATCAGTCGCAGGCA